CTTGACATACACATTTCCCACCAGGTGGTCTCCCAGGTTATCACAGACGTTCATCTCCTCAACTTCTCCATATTTCTCCTCCATTTCTGTAAAAACCTCCTGAAAAGAGATCGCAGTGCTGTAAGGTTACATATATTATGAGTGTAATCAAAAAAGAAAATGAAGGTGGGGTGCGGTGGCTTATGCCTGTAATCCCAGAACTCTGGGAGGCCAAGGCGGACAGATCACCTGAGCTCACAAGTTCAAGACCAGCCTGAGCTAAACTGAGACCCTGTCTATAAAAATAGCTAGGTGTTGTGGAGGGGGCCTGTAGTCCCAGCTACTTTGGAGGCTGAGGCAAGAGAATTGCTTGAGCCCAAGAGTCTGAAGTTGCTGTGAGCCTTGACGTCACAGCACTCTACCAAGGTCGACACAGTGAGACTGTCTTAAAAAAAAAAAAGAGAGAGTGTAATTAATGCTAAGGATGCTTATTAGTGGAGAAAACTTTAAATTCCTTCCAAGAGGACACAGAAAGAAGGTCAACAAGTCTACTAGCTAGAGGTCAATTTTTTTTTTTCCCCACAGCTTCCAGAGGCAAAGAGTACTATTTTCTTACCTCAAAAAATTCATCATAGTGTTCCTGCATCTCAACATCGCTGACGGCACCTGGAAACAACAGAAATCTTGCTGGTTAGGACAGGCTGACAGAGAGCGAACTCTTGTGCTTAAACTCAAACTGCTACAACGACACACAAGAGATTATCTAGAGAAACCCGGCAGAGCCGCTCTCCACAGCACACTGAGGCGGCTGCATCTCACAGCTACTTGTTAATGGTGGCAACTGTGCCAAGATTTAAATGTCCCTATCGCAGTCTCAATTCTGGTTATTAAAATATTAAAACCACAATCAGTTTTAATCAGCATCAAAAGGGCCACAAGTTTCAGGAAGTATGAGGGAAAAACTGAATCTAAAATTAAGGAATTTTTAAATAAAATTTTTTTCTTTTTAAGATTTAGAATAGAGGCCCCATAAGCACGTTGATTTGTTGCCCCCTTTACTATTTTAAATAGAAATGGAAGTCAGGGTAAGAGATTATGTTCCTAACTAGTTTCTTTTACAGACTGCCAGCAAAAGAATGCTATAAAAAAATTCTTTCTGATGCGATTAAAACCCAAGCAACCATAAATACTCAGTAGGATCATTACCAGGCACAATTATCATATTCTGGATGCACCCCCCCGCAAATAAGGAGAAAGTTACAATGCTTTGTTGAAGGAAGCATTCTTATCTTAAATTTCAAAACTATTTTCACCCACTTATTCTTCACGATTCACATGTGCTAAGTAAAGTCATCCATTATTTGGGTAGATTTTGCAAACTCATCTCTCTACCTAATTTTATGTTCAAATCTAGAATTTTCTGAACTCTGAGAAATCACAAAGCTGGTATGTTAATAAACTCATGTTCTAAACGGACAGATGGGGGCAGGCAAAGGCCCGACTGGCTTCAAGGGTAGGCCAGCTCAGTCTGAGACCTTTCACAGGCCACGTTCCTGTGACCAATCAGCTGATGATGGTGGCTGCCTCATCTGGAGCAACCCAGCACAGGCATCTAACTTTAAGTTTGCTCAGCGCTTTTTTATCTTTAAAGACAAAACCTAACTCATCTTCTGAGTTCGAAAATGATTTAAGTCCACTTTCTAACCTAGCTGGGGCTATGTTGCAGTAATTTTTGAATTTCTAGGAGTATAGTTGACCTTCAAACCCAAACTTACTGACAGCCTGTAAATGGTACCATAGGATATCTTGATTTAAAAGCTAAAGGAGCATACTCTTCTTCTCAGAGTGGAAATCAAGTTGTAGAAACTGATTTAGCCAGAAAAACTGGCCAAGAGGGGCCCACTCAAAAGGGCAGATCTTTTTTTTTTTTTTTAAGAGACAGAGTCTCACTTTGTCACACTTGGTAGAGTGCCATGGTGTCACAGCTCACGCAACCTCCAGTTTTTGGGCTTAGGTGATCCTCTTGTCTCAGCGGCCCGGAGTAGCTGGGATTACAGGCGCCTGCCACAATGCCTGGCTATTTTTTGGTTGCAGTTTGGCCAGGGCTGAGTTCGAACCACCACCCTCAGTATATGGGGCTGGTGCCCTACGCACTGAGCCATAGGCACCGCCCAAAAGGGCAGATTTTAATTTCTAAAACTCATTTCCTTTCCCACATCAAAAAGAATGTGAGGAGGAAAAATAATATTTACATGTTCGAAGTATTAGTAGCTTTGAGAAAAGGTTTTGTGGTGGTTATTTTAAATGACCTGGTTACACCCATTCTGCTTAAAGTTTTTATATCAATCAAACTGACTTGAAGGCGGAGACAAGAGCAATAAAATATTAACTACAAACTGATTTAAGTGACTCAAGCTATTTTAAACAATAAACTTGGAAAATAAACCAGTTTCTTTCTTTTTTTTTTTTGGTCTGGGGCTGAGCTTGAGCCCACCACCCCTGGTATATGGGGCCGGCGCGCTACTCCTTGAGCCACAGGCACTGCCCGAAAACAAACCAGTTTCTTACAGAAATATTTTTTTTTTTGTGAGACAGAGCCTCAAGCTGTTCCCCTGGGTAGAGTGCCGTGGCATCACAGTTCGTAGCAACCTTCAACTCCTGGGCTTAAGCAATTCTCTTGCCTCAGCCTCCCAAGTAGCTGGGACTACAGGCGCCCGCCACAATGCCTGGCTGTTTTTTTGGTTGCAGCCGCACTGTTGTTTGGCAGGCCCAGGCTGGATTTGAACCTGCCAGGTCAGGTCTATGTGGCTGGCGCTTTAGCTGCTTGAGCCACAGGAACTGAGCCAGAAATATTATTATTAAACTGGGATTCTAATTTAACTTTAATCCACACATATGAACCTTTTTTCTACACGTGAAAGGGTATGTTGTTAAAAAGAGCCAGTAATTTTAGGTAATTAATTTCTTCCTAAAATGAAGAATTAGAATTTCACTTAACTTTTACAGTCTGGACCCCAGAATTGGAATATTTAGCAATAACTAAACTCTTATTTATAGTATACACAAAGCGAGAGTACTGTGAATTATAAATAAAGACACAAAGGAAACTAATACAACATTCTACTGTCAATAAAGCACACACAGTCCCCAAGTAAACAATCACGGTAAAGAATGATTAATTACTGTTACTCAGTCACCTACTTGTCATTCATTTTTATCCCAGGGAGGAGTGGTTAACAAAAATTATTTAATAAGTCAATATATAAACATTTCCCTCCACCCGTTAATCTTATTAAAGACAAAAACAAAAACAAAATAAAAGAAACAAACCAAAAAAAACAGGTACTTTAAACCAAGGGTCACCAAGTAAATCCTGCTACCATCAGATTCAGGGAAAGAAATCTCTGCTGCCAGGTCAGCATTAGCATGGAAAAGCATTCAGTGTCTCAGCAGGAAAATTTGCCAGAAATCCCCCACACCACACAGACTGTTCTCTCTGAGCAGAACCCAGACCTCCTAATCTGGGGCCAGCTTGAGAGGGGTGGCCCCAGGATCATTCCTCCCAGCACAGGTCACCCTATAAACTGAGGGGATCTGAGTGAAGGGCAGACCCAATGTAAGCTTATGGCTGACCAGGGGTATTTCCATTTTTATTGCCTTAAACATACTGGCCAATGAGAACTACTCTGGTTTGGACTCCTTGATTTTAGTTAAGAGTCCAGGTGTTCAATTCAATTTATCCACAAATGACCAAATTCCAGTGATACCATAGCTGGATACTTTAAAAAAAAAATTAAATTTTACTTTTCTGAACTTTCCAACCATAGTAATCTGTATCTTGTTCTCTAAAAACTATCACTCAGTAAATATTCACAACCTAAATTTCTTATTTCCAGTACAGGAAGTAACTGGTTAATGTTTACTGAATGCCCAGTTTAAATTTATTTCCCCACCAAATACTCCTTAACTTTCCAAATGTAGCAAACTCCAACTCCTATAGCTGGAGATTGTATCTATGCAAAGTGCACTGAGTGTCTTTTCTGTCAAGGACCCATCTGAACTAAGCACATCCACCCAGTGTGAGTAACTTGCACAGGACAGGTGAGTGAGAAAAACTCAGGGGTCAATGCAAGCTGCAAATTCTTACTTGGGAAACACATTCAGAACAACGCTCTCACAGCTAAAGCACAACCTCCAAAATGGAGTTTAAGGGGGAAAAAAAAAGATAATAAGAAATAAAATCTGAAAAATGACTTCAAAACAGTTTGTTTTTTAACGTTTCAGAAATGGAGGCCGAGGCAGGTAGATTCCTGAGCTCACAGGTTCAAGACCAGCCTGAGCAAGGGCAAGACCCTGTCTCTAAAAAATAGCTGGGCGTTTTAGTGGGAGCCTGTAGTCCCAGCCACTCAGAAGGCTAAGACAAGAGAACCGCTTGAGTCCAAGAGTTTGAGGTTGCTGTGAGCTATGACGCCATGGCACTCTACTGAGGGTGACAAAATGAGACTCTGTCTCAAAAAATAAAAAATAAATAAAAAACAAAACGCCAGAAAGTGGGAAAAACATTCAAACACTGTTGCTCTTAGAGGGAAAAATGTAACTTGATGTTTAGTTCCAGTACATTCCCCCTAGGATGACGGTCTGAATAAAGAACAAGAGAGCGAAAACAGCACCAGACTGTTGTAAAGGGCACCCTTTCCAGTCCTTTTCCCTTAACATGTGGGCAGTTCAAATCGCCAACAGAGGTTTCCATGGGGTCAGTGGGACAAAAGCTTCTTGCCACCTCTAGTGAAAAGCGGTCCTTGACACTACCACGGCAGACCAGATGGAGTGGACACTGAGCTCTGACACGCAAGCCCAGGGAACCAGGGAAGGAACTTGTATGAACTTACAGCGCAAACCGTCAGCAGACTGGGAAGAGTTTTGAGGGTTACGGTAAATGTTCAAGAGGGCAATGGTCTGAAATACAAAACGCAACAACTTTATATTATGGAAAATTAAATGTAAACACTTAACCGGTTGCCTCTGGTAATCACTTCAGTTGAGATTCAGTGCTGAAAAAGAGCAAGTTATTTTCTTCAGAAGCAGAGATGTTTTCTCTTAGTTGATGGCTGTCTTGAAACACCCTAACACTGCAATGTAACAGAGATCTCATGATATACTAATACTGTATTTCTATTTACAGAATATGAAAAGTCTCCATTTCAAAATTTCAGTTCAGGTAAAAGTGCAAAGAGCTTACCAGCCTACTACTGAAATTTTCTTAGACATTATAGAAAACTTTTAATGAACTGAGAAAGAAAAGTGCCTATATCAAACGATGAAAAAAATTACTGTATTAGAGAAATACAATAATTACATATCATGAAATCTCTACTTCCTAGAGAAAAAAATTATAATGGTGAAATAAAACCCACACTTATTGGGCAACTTACCTTATTGATTCCTTAATATTCCTAAGATTTTTAATTTTACAGAAAGAACTTAACAAAGGCCAGGAGTTCAGTCACTGTAAAAACCAATGATCGGCCAATAATGTTAAAACCCATTTCACATGGACAGGCCACTCTCATGACAAAGGTCAATGAATGGAAGAGGCCAAGCCAGAAACCTTCCTTAGAGAAGAAAGCCTCCTGAACGTGGCCAAGTATCAAGTTCTTGCTGTGTGCGCCAAGGAGTTCCAGCACCTTGTCCTGTTTGCAACAGCTCTATGTCAGCAGCTCAGAAGCCAACATTATTTGTCTCAATTAAGAGTGGGCTCTTTAACACCATTGTTTTAAAAAAATTTCTCCAACTGTGGGACTTACAGTGTGAGCCGTCAGCCGTCTGTGCACTGTTTTGGGGATTACGATAGATGTTTTGAATCAAGATGGTCTGCGGGGAAAAAAAAATAAAAAGGGGAATTCTACTGGCTGCTGTGCATATATTAGACAATTGCAAAGAGACAATTTGTTTGCAAATGGCTAAACGCTCATTTTTCCCGCAAGTCAGACCCTTGTCTTCTGAAGAGTACACCAAAACCATCATATTATGAAAACAGAGTTTGAGCAGTGACTTGGGTCAAGTCAGCCAGCAACCAAGAAGAAATTTTAATTGTTTTAAGTAGTCCCACATCATTAAAGTGTTTGAATACAAGATAAATAATAGAACACTAACATGTTCTTGTACTTCAAGCTACCAGACACTAAGATGTAGAAAAATTCACATTATAATCATATTCCCCACACAAAATAATTTTTTGAAACCAAATGCATAACTCAACTGTATGCAGTACATCAAGTTCTCTGGTCTTAGCAAAACAGGCACACCAAACAGGTTTCTTAACTGTCATGGATACCTGACTCTTATTTACACTTTCTTGGTGGGATCTCTGTTTACATAATACAATAGCTTAAAACATTTGCTCTTTTCCGATCCTTCTTTTAAGGAAAAGATCCTTTTAGCCCTTGTGCTTTACACTGGATCAGGCAGACTTGAAACCTTACACTGTACCGTTCTTCTTAAAATCAAGTTGTCTGAAAAAACAAACCATGTTTAAGTTAGTAGACTAATATATTACATGAATTTTAATGTCCACATCACTGTAAGAAGCTTACAAAGAAACCCGCCCTGAGTTATTCTAAAGATTTACAAGCTCAGTCAATAATTGTATGAGAAAAAAATAAATGTTCAGTCTAAACAGTATGTATGTAAAGCAGTTTTGTAAGTGGTTTTACAAAAGCAGCTGTTTAAATGAGAGTGCTTGTGTGAGGGGAGCTCCCCAAGGGTCTGTGGCTGGGAAACCTACCTGGCAGGAATGTCCAGCAGCCAGGCTGCACACACTTAACCACTTAGACTCAAACAGGTCCAGGACCCTCCCCAAGTCTCAGGTCCTTCCCCAAACTGACTTTACTCAGTTTCCAAACAGGACACTGCAGCATGAAAACTCTGACGCAAAGTTCAACTGAGCTCTAATTGTCAACAGTAAAATTCACTGTGGGTCTCATTCAAGTAACATGGTGATGGCTGTTTAATGACAAAAACTTCACTTAAAGGGGCAACACAGTTCCAATAACACCATAGGTGGCTAGGATTACCTAAAACCAACCAAAGACACCAAACTAGTAAATCATCTTAATCAAATGAAGATGCTTAAGCTAACATTCCACTAACTCCTTTAAACACTAATGTAACCACCATCACCATGCTGTTTGATCCACAGTGCCCCAATTAACTTCACATTTAGTATTTTGAGGTAGTCTACCACTCAGGAAAAAAAAAATCCAGTGTCTCTGGCTAGCTTAAAGAAAACTTTTATAAAGGATTGGGTGGACACACACTTAAGGAGCATAGTTACTGTACCATCTATGGCCAGTGGGTTAGCTGGGGAGATTTAGGTTCATAATTATTATTTTTTTGGAGACAGAATCTCGCTTTGTTACCCCTGCTATAATTCCATAGCATCATAGCTCACAGCAACTTCAAACTCTTAGGTTCAAGCTATCCTCTCGCCTTACCCTCCCAAATAACTGGGACTACAGACACCTGCCACAATGTCTAGCTATTTTTAGAATTAGGGTCTCACTCTTGCTCAGGCTTGTCTCCAATTCCTGAGCTCCGATATCACCTGCCTTGGCCTCCCACAGTGCTAGGATTACAGACATGAGACACTGTGTCCAGCCCTTGTTCATAAATACTTAAAAAAAAAAAAAAAGAAAAGAAAACAGAAATTTAAAGCTTAATGCAACTTCTCCAATATTCTGAAATTCCCAAAAAGAAACACACACAACCAGTACTAACAGATAATCTTATTATACTAACCACTTAGTAATTAGGAACAGTGGAGGGGAAAAGCCATCACCTGCTTCCCTTCTAACATACACTGCACTAGGTGGGATTTTCTGTGGGTTTCAAAAGCAAAATGCCCAGGTTGCTCACTTACACTGAATGGTGGATGTTCTTAAATGCTTACAGGAAAACATACAGAAAGATATGAACTCAAGGCAGAGTCCTGGCAGCTCCAGGGACCATACATGATAGTTATCCAATAGTTCAGAGGCTGCACGTTCAGACTACAAAGGAGGGCTAGAAGGTGCTCAGTAGCACTACCTCTAGAAAGACTCCAGTATAGATTTTCAAATTTTCTCATAAACGTGGGCAAAAGTTACCTTTCTCCCTTTAATCTGCCAGTGATTACTTGTAGGGTGCAAACTCTTGCCTTTTCAATTAACCAAAAATCAAACTAAAATCACTATTTTTGGTTCAAATGAACTCAGAAGGTCTAAGCCCAAGATAACAGGCAACAACCTCTTGATTAACAGACCTACCATGAACCAGGCATGCTCATCTCCCACTGGTTAAGCTGTTCTCACATTTGCATAACACAGTGCAACTTGCAGTTTCCTCAACTAGGGATTTGAGAGGAAGGACACACCCCTAGGAACCTTGGTACAGCAGGATGGACCTAGTCAATCACTCTAGCTCATAAGGTGGCTCCATCACCTCTACTGGCAGCAGGGAACAAAAAAACAGAAAGCCCACTCTGCATCCTGGGGCCTACAAGAGAGGTGCTGCCAGCCCTGGACTCATATCTACCAGAGGGGTAAGCAGGATGGCAGGGCAGTGACTACTGGACACAGTCAGTACACAAAAATTAGAAGTTATTTTCAAAAAATTCCTTGATTAATAAAAAACAGGGAATGGAGCTCTTGGACCTTCTGCTGGGAGTGGTTTATCTGCCTTGTTCTTATTTTAACAAAACATACTCAGGAACACAAATGGAAAATAAAACTAGAGAAAAAAGTGACTTGCTCAATGTGAGAGAATTATTAATTGCCTCTTAAAAAGTACGTACAAATACATAAAGTTTAGATAATTTACATGAAAACAAAAAAAAAAGAAAAAGCAAACAAACCTGGCTAAAGGTCGGTTTATTGTGCAACCGAGAGCACCGGTCTCCATGACGACACGCTCCAATTTTGAAATAAAATGAACAGTTGACTCTGGAAGGGAAAATAAGAACTGATGATTTTGCTGGGCAAATATCAAGCACACGGAACTCTGTCATTACCATGATACACACTATCAAACTTTCATTTATTTCACAGAAAGACAGGCACATAATTTTCTGTGGTAGTAAGGACTTTCCTCTTCCTTTTGCTATTTTAGGACAACTTATATCAACTTTCCTTTCTATAAACATGCTCCTTTTTTTGTTTTTTTTTGAGACAGAGTCTCACTATGTTGCCCTCGATAGAGTGCCATGACATCATAACTAATAGCAACCTCAAACTCTTGGGCTTAAGTGATTCTCTTGCCTCAGCCTCCCAAGTAGCTGGGACTACAGGAGCCCACCACGACACCCAGCTATTTATTTTTTGTTGCAGTTGTCATTGTAGTTTAGCTGGCCCTGGGTCAGATTCAAACCTGCCAGCCTCAGTGTATCTGGCTGGCACCACTGTGCTACAGGCGCTGAGCCAACATGTTGCTCTTTCAATAAAGTCCACTCGAATGCTAACCCAATTCTTCCTCATCAAAACCTAAATTTAACTTAAATCATGCCTGTTCTCCAGTTTTCCATGATGAAATTCTTTCCTAAAACATAAAGCAGTATAGTATGTCAAGATTCGGCCTCTGCTACTAGTTGCCTGGGCCAAGAGAAGTTGCCCCAGGTCTTAGATGCTATTTGGAAAAGGAAAAAAATGCCTTGGCATTATTTCAAGAGCTAGGGAGAACGTATGTGTGCTTCATACACAGTGCTCACTAAGTGTTATCATTACATAGGAAAAACAGTAGTAGTTCAGGTTCTCTCAAAACCTACGACACTATACCAACAGGAAATTTAAAAAAAAAGAAAAAGAAAAAGGTAGGTCTTAAGTAAATAACTCTCCCGATTTCAACGTTCTGACAATAGTAGTTCAGGTTCTCTCAAAACCTATGACACTATACCAACAGGAAATTTAAAAAAAAAAAGAAAAAGAAAAAGGTAGGTCTTAAGTAAATAACTCTCCCGATTTCAGCATTCTGAAACAAGAGCTATTAGGGGACTGATCCAGCATGTCTTAAGAGACACCTGAGGTCACCCTGTCTCCACTGCAAAGCTCTCCCTTAATACTGTTCAAATACTTTGATGATCCTGATCAAATGGAAAACAGCAATCATGTCTCTCTGACAGCAATGCTGAGTGGTTTAGCAGAACTATGATGAATTATGAAATGTTGCTAGAACTAGGTGAGCTCCTCTCAAGTTTCAACTTGCTGAGGGGGGAGGGCTACCTGTGAATTTGTTTTAGCAAGTGCCATCTATTTAAACAGTAAATCCAGAGGTAAGATGCAAAGTCCTCAACTTCAATGATATCTGAGAAACCATGAAGACTGATGGCCACTGATTTATTATCAGGTAGCAATAAACATGGGCAAATCTGAGTTTAACAGGAGAAGAAGGAAAATGATTACGATATATTTCAATATATTTGCAAGCTTATCGTAGAAGGCTCACTTTATTATCTGGGTAGAGTACAGTGATGTCATGGGCTCAAGTGATCCTCCTGCCTCAATCTCCCTAGTAGCCAAGACTACAGTCACCTACAATATCCTGCTAATTTTTCTAATTTTAGTAGAGGCGGGGTCTTGCTCTTGCTCAGTCTGGTCTCCCAACTCCTGAGCTCAATCAATCCACTTGCCTCAGCCTCCCAGAGTGCTAAGATTACAGGTGTGAGCCACTGTGCCTAGCCTAGCTAGAAGGCTCAGTTGAATAGACAGTAACTTATCTTTAGGAAGTCACCTGAAAATGAAGAGCTTATTTAAAAAATACCTCAGAATGGGCAACCTCCCTACAATCAATACCCAATTATTTCATATAATCAAAATAATCCTTATTCTTCCTGTACTTCTAGTGATGGTTTTCTTTTCAGAGACCAAAGTTTAGTAAATCAATTTCAACTTTTCTAGCAATAAACTCTACTACCTACTTACTAAATTACTGAAATGAAAAGATATAAGCTATCAGGAAGGCTATGCTTGGATCTAGAAGATGTCTCTAATGTCAAATGCATAATAAGCTGGGTTTTTTTTTTTTTTTGAGTTGAGGGTCTCATTCAGTTGCCCCGGCTAGAGTTAAGTGGCCCGTTCATGGTTCAGTGCAGCCCCAACTTCCTGGCCTCAAGTGATCCTCCTGTCTTGGATTATGAATTTTTTTTTCTTTTTTTCGAGACAGAGTTTCACTTTATCGCCCTCGGTAGAGTGCTGTGGCATCATAGTTCACAGCAACCTCCATCTCCTGGGCTTAGGCGATTCTCTTCCCTCAGTCTCCTGAGTAGCTGGGACTATAGGCACCCACCACAATGCCCCGCTATTTGCTGTTGCAATGTGGCTGGGGCTGGGTTTGAACCCACCACTCTCGGTATATGGGACCCGTGCCCTACCCACTGAGCCACAAGCACCGCCCTTCACTACTAGTTTAAAGTAAAAAGAAAAAAGAAAGTTCACAGAAACCACCATCTTCATTTTTTAGGAGTTGATCTTGTTCCTAGAAGCTAAAACCCTGAAATGAAAACAAGAGTAACTTAGATTTAAAAATCAACTTTTCTGAATTGATACCATGACTTACTTTCACAGTACAGCTCTAATAGGATGAGAAATAGCTGATTATGGCAGAAGTAGAAAAGCATGATTGGGATAAACCTTTAAAGTAAGAGTTTTGCATTAACACATTTCAATGCCATTTTACTTGAATTATCCTTAGAAGGACATGTATATTCTTCCTTAATGACTTCCTTGAGGGCAAGACCCAAATTTTATCCATCTTTGATTCCCCAGAAACTATAGTTCGCACCCAGTAAATGTTTCTGGAGTGATTTTTGCATAAGATTTTGCTAGAAAATCTTTATTTAGCTATATTTAGTACTCTCTTCCAAGCAACACAGGAGATTCTATCATGTGTAAAGAGAACATTTTACAGGAAAGATTCCATCCTGGAAAACAGAAACATTTTAAACATTGTTTGAAAAAGGTGGCATTTAAAACATTACCTATGACACATTTAGGGATTTATCACTGAAAACATATATTCATTCACATAAGCTTTATATGGCACTGAAAATGGCCAGGATGACAACTACTTAAAGAGTAGATTAACCCAGACGTTTAGTATTTAGGTTTTCAAATTAAGAACTATCCTCTGAAATGTGTGAACACATTGCCTCTGGTCTAGTAAAACAATGTACTGAAAACTAGTATGTGCCAAGGTGACAATAAAACAAAAGAGAAATTAAAATTTCTACTTTGATTTTAATTTATTTTTTTGAGACAGAGCCTCAAGCTGTCACCCTGGGTAGAGTGCCGTGGCATCACAGCTCACAGCAACCTCCAACTCCTGGGCTCAACCGAGTCTCCTGCCTCAGCCTCCCAAGCAGCTGGGACCACAGGCGCCCGCCACAACACCTGGCTATTTTTTGGTTGCAGCCATCATTGTTGTTTGGCGGGCCAGGCTGGATTCGAACCTGCCAGCTCAGGTGTCTGTGGCTGGCGCCTTAGCCACTTGAGCCACAGGCGCCAAGCCAAAAATTTCTACTTTTAACCTAACAGTTGATTAGAGAAGGCATGGAACCTAAAAAAAAAATAAAACTACCAAAACATCTTTTCTTTATACTGGAACTGCATACTCAAGTACAGGCAAGTCCCCGACTTGACATCTGTGGACTTTTGCGAAGGGTTTACCTGGCGTAGCAAACGCAATTTACAATGGGCTTACCAGGACGCAATCCCACCATAAATGGGGGGAACATCCGTCTTTTACGAGCAGACTACGTCTTTTATGGTTAACCCCGCAGTCTCCGGGATACTTCTTCACGTCACATGTCTGTAAAGTGCCGGCCCAATACTAGCTTAAGGCGGCAAGAAGCCTGTTAGGTGGATAAAACGCCAGCACTCAAGATCCTAAGTTCTCTAACAATTTAACGTCGGCTGGCCCCACGTGACATTAAAAGCCCGAAGCTTGAGGAAATGTGCCAGCCGCCAAGAGGCCCAGGTCCGTCAGCCAACTCCCGCCCGCGCGGGGCGGCTTCCGGGCGGCGGCGGCAAGGAGGTGCGGGCGCTGCCGGGGCCCGGGGGAGAGGGCGCAGCCGCCGCGCGCCCAGAGCAGAGTCCGCCGCCCGCCGGCGCCAAGCAGCAGAGTCTGCCGCCCAGCTCCTTCCTCCCGCCGCGCGGCCCACGAGGCGGCGAAGGCGGGCGCGCGAGGGGCCGGAAGGGCCGGCGCTCCTTCCCGCCCCCGACCCGCCGGTCCTCCCGCCACCGCTCAGCCGCTCCACGCACCAACTGCGTCCCAGCCTAGAGCCCCGGAAGGCGGTTCCTACTCACTTGTCTTTCTCGGTGCCGAAGATGGAGGCCAAGTACTCCGCCATTTCCCACCCGCCACGGCCGACACGGCTGCCGACGCCGCCGACCCTGCCGACGCCTGAGGGAGACGTCACCCGAACGCGACGGCGCTCTCCCCGCCCCCCACGTGGAGGCGCTACCCAATCCGGCGCGGCGCTGCCTGCGTGGGGGCGGGGCTCAGCGCCTCAGAGAACTTCCGCCCCTGGACGCGGGAGCTCCGCGGCTCTTGCAGGCGCCTTTGAGCCCGCGCTCTTCCGCTGGCCTTGGCAGCAAGGACTGATCTCATGCCGAGAGCTCCTCCGCCGAACGCCGGGGCCTGGGGGACTCCTCTCGCCCGGCCGCGGGAGCACTAGTTGGTGCCGGCGTTCTGCTCCCGGCTGAGCCCTGTCGCCCTGAAAGAAAAAATTTGAGGCAAAATGAGTATAAGGATTAGTTTATTGGGGCCAAGTTGAAGAGTGCAGCCCTGGGACATGGACTCAGGTTGCCCGATGTACACTTCGTTAGCAGCTACCTTCAGCTTTTTCTCTTTTCTTTTTCTTTTTTTTAAGATAGAGTCTCAAGCTGGCGCCCTCGGTAGAGTGCGGTGGCGTCACAGCTCACAGCAACCTCCAACTCTTGGGCTTAGGCAATTCTCTTGCCTCAGCCTCGCAAGTAGCTGGGACTACAGGTGCTGCCACAACGCCCGGCAATTTTTTTTTTTAAATTGCAGTTATCATTGCTTTAGTTGGTGGCCCGGCTGGGTTCGAACCTGCCAACCTCGGTTTATGTGGCTGGCGCTGCAACCACTGCGCTACAGGCGCCGAGCCTTTATTTAATGTTTTTTGGAGACAGAGTCTTACTCTGTCGCCCTGGGCAAGAGTGCTGTGGCGTCGTCATAGCTCACAGCCACCTGAAACTCCTGGTCTCAAAGTGATCTTGCTCCAGCCTTCCGAGTTGCTGAGTCTACAGGCACTCGCCAGAACGCCTAGCTATTTTTTATTTTTATTTTTTTTTTCCTTTTATTTTTTGTAGAGACAATCTCACTCTGTAGCCCCC